TCCAACAGATTCCAACACTATATAACTCAGTGTGAAAACAGGAATGACAGAGGTGCGTTATTTTCAAGTATCCTTTGAAAACTCGTGACATGTCCTCTTGGTCATCCTAATTTCTTAAGAGGAAAAAGCTTGTGTAAATTGTGTCTGAAAGAATTTTTTAGAGTTCCGTGCATCGAAATCAGATTACATACAAACCCACAACAGAACAGATTGAAGAGGATTAGATTATCAAGCAGCTCTTTTTATGGTAATCCCAATAGTTCTGGAGTTTCTCTGGTATCTGCCCTCTGTACTTTTTTTCAATATAATCGATTCACGTCTTATAAGGGTCCGGAATCCTGAACAAAGTTCTCAACTTTGGATCTCACTAAAGTTGTGTATACTGTGATGAACACGTAGATATTCGACTCGTTAAATGTCCGTACTAAAGCCCATAGGGTTTCAAGCCCCTTAGCTCCGGAATCGCGGCAGTGGACCGTATTTCTAAAATTATAGCTCACAGTCACGTTAGACCCTGGTGAAACAGGATTATGGACACTAACTCTTCCCTTATGCTACACTTATTTACCTTTATGTCCCCTCTTGGAATATGGCCACACTTGGCGGTGTTAACAGACATCTACTATTCTTGAAACCAGTTAACCAGAACATCTAAGCCCATTTGAAAAGCACACACATTAACTTACCCTGTTAGTTCATCGTCTGTGTAAAATGGCATCGAGTACTCAGCTATACTTGATAGTTTACTTACAAAAGGTATCAAAGGCAAAGGACCTAAGACAGAGCCCTGGAACACTCCGTTATGTACTGATTTCTAGAAGAACCATTTGAGGTTTTCTCTTACTTCTTTTCTACGATCTATCAAGAAATCCTTGATGCACTAGAGGAAAGGTCAGTCAATTCCTAGATTTCCCAGCTTCATTAATAGTTAATCGGTCTTTAACAAGCTTTTGGTCTCCACGAATGTTGTCGTGATCTTCCGAATATTCTTTCCACTATTCAAACTACTACACTGAAAAGGTTTACAAGTCTACAGTTTGATGCAAGTGGTCTTGATCCTGCTTTAGGAATAGGAGCGACAACTTTACCCTTCCAGTTCGCAGGTAACTCACTTCACCTAAGTAACATAAAGAGTATTGTAGTCAGTGAAACAGCAATATTTTGTGCAATTTCTTTCGATATTTTAGGTTGTAGTTAATCCCATCCTGGTGATTTTTTTGTGTCTAAAATGCTAACAGCATTTGGTACTTCGTCTCGATGAAAGAACACAAACTGATAATAACGGTGCATATAAGTTATTCTTGTTTTTACTGTCTTGAATTCAAAACAGGATTTCGATGGAGATCCATTTCTTATGATGATGCTTCTTGCAACCTAGCACTTCCTGACATGTTGACGTTAATGCTTCTCCGATCTTTTTCTATTTGTTCTCCATAATCGTTTCTTCTTCTTCCTGTAGTTCCTGTAAGGCTTGCAAACCGTCGTTGAGAGTTGTCTTCAATTAGTTCAGTTTGTCAGTATGTCGGAGGAAGGCTCTACTGAACCTTTGTAATGTTGTTTGTCCAGCTGTCCAATCATTCTCTAGCTTCAGTTTCATCATGGCCACCACCAGAGGGTGATCTGAAACTATGTCAGCTCCTCTCTTTTTCCTCATGTCTTCCATTGACTTTCTGAATATTTTACTGATGCCAATTTGGTAGATCTGGTTATCCGTGGTGTGATCTGGTGAGATTCATGTAGCATTTTGTATGTGTTTGTGTGGGAATATTGTGCCGCCTGTCAGCATTTTGTTGAATGCATATAAGTCTGCGAATCTCTCACCATTCTCGTTCCTTTCTCTCCGTCAGTCCATGTCGTCCCATGATATCATCATACTGAGTGTTGTCCATGCGGTGCGTGCTACTTATATTGATATAAGTAGTATAAGACGCGAGTCAGGAATGTAATGTCTGGCAGCAGAATATGGGGAAGATCAAGAAAGGAAGAGCGGGAATAGAAAGCAATTGGTATGGAAATGCAAGAAGAACGAAGTTCGAGACAATTATTGAACACTTTGCAAATTCAATATTACAGTATGGTTTTTCTATTTTACCAAGTAACTGTAATTTTGTACTAAATATAATTCGGTTGTCCTCATCTGTGTTCTCCTTCACTACAGTATATTATGACTTTGGAGTTTAGATTTCACATCACGATTGTCAGGTCCTTTCCTGGGTATTTCGCTATGGTCGGTTGCAGGCCCTCGTAAAGCTGATGTTTATCGTCGTCATTGCTATCGTTGACGGTTGCATAACATTGGATAACATTTATTGTAATTCTCTCTTCCTTTGTTCTGAATGATGCTTTGATGATCCTAGATCCATGAGGTTCTCATTCTATAGGTACTTGTGTTTTCTTCCTCTTGCTAAACTTTACAAGCTACAGAACGGTAGCTCTTCGAAATATGCCCTTAAAAAGTATAGAGTCCTTGATATGTAACCGTCTGCACTATGGTGTGTGCTGCTGATGTCGTTAGATATAAGTAGTATCTATCATCAGTCGAAAGTGGAATGCATGCAGGCAAAAGATTATGGTGATCAAATTAAAGAAAACGAGAACAGAGGATGTATAATGTAGAAACGAAAGAACAGTGAAGTATGAGACAACTGGCTGACATTTTGCATGTGGAGTATTTAGTGTGTAGTCGAATTGGGATTACCAATTGTAGCGTGACGTCGAGTTGAGGTTAACTATGAACACCGCTACAAAGAAACACGTGCCAAGCGAATCAGAAGGCGTAAGAAGCTCGTTCCAAATGACTCCATAAAATCCCCGAGAAGCCAAATATCAGAAGACAGTTAATGGACCAAGTCGAGGTTTATTAGCTGGCGATCTCGTGGCATCGAAAGGATACCGAGATCGTGCCAGGATACAACCTTGGTTACAGAAGGTAACCGAATTCGCGCGAAGTTACAATCGAAGTGTAAGCGAAAGAATGGAAGCACAAAGTAGCTGTCATTAGCACAGTCAAACAAAAGCACGTTAAAATAAACACTGGTACAGTTGGTTATAATAATAATTGTTTTTATTAAACCAGTCGTGTTCTCGTGATAAATGTGAGTCACTACAAGTGTATGGCCCTCAGATTTTAATGAGACATTATCTAATTTTGTATTCAATTACTTTCGATTGTTTACAACAGTGTTCTCGGTCACTACATGCACAACTCTTACTATCCATAAAATTCTTTTCACCCCATCACTACGGTTTTAGAGGAAGTCACTCATGTATAATTAACCTGCTGATCGCAATGGGAAGGTTGACGTCATATACCTTAACTTCGCAAAAAGTACTCATAAGGTTAAACATATATGTCTTATCAATAAACTAAAATGATCAGGTGTAGAATCACCTTTATTCGATTGGCTCATGTTGTACCTAAAATGTTGTCATTTGTATGTCAGGGCTGACTTCATTTTTCCTTAGACTTTAGAATGCCTAGTAAGGTTCAGTTAAGTTCAGTACTAAGATCTCTTCTTTTCTTGGTTAATATGATCGATCTTCCAGAACAAGTAATGTCAGATTTACCACTTTTCGCCGAGGATCTGAAACGCTGTGTGAATTATGCAATCAATAGTATTATCTGGAACATCTAGATGTTCTAACTCGAATTAAGAGTCGGATGAACAGCAGTGGATTTACCTTTGACACTTCAATATGTAAAGTAGTCCATCTGAAACATGTTGCAAGCTACAAATACAATTGAGGTAGCTCTCCTTCAGAGGCACCCCAAGTTGAAAGAAACCTAAATGTGTTGGCACCATACGATCTGAATTCTTGCGCTAACTGTGACAACAATGCCTTTCGAGCAAACCTTGCACTGGTAATGTTGAAGGGTAATTTTGACCGATTCGATGGAAGAACTTTTCACCTAAACTTCGGGAGTTTTATTCATCCCCATTCGCAGTACGGAAACGTAACCTTTCATCCTTCACTGCAAAATGATAAATACACTCTGAAACGTATCCAGCGGTGAGCCACGAAATCAGTTCGGGCACACAAATTCGTCTTTTAAAGAGCGCCTTTGGTTCCTAAACCTTAAATCATTAGTTCAGGCGTCATACACGTGATTTTCTAATGGCTTATAACATCCCAAATAACTCTCAGGATTTCCTTAAACATATACTTAGGCTTAGTCCCAGCACAAACCTTGGGGATAACAGACAGAAACTCGAGACACAACATGGCAGAACAAAGTGTAGACACATCTTCTACTTCTTAAGAGTGGTAAAGTGTTGGAATTTATAGGTGACTGAGTTGTTCAAAGAGAATTCCCAGGAATCCTTTAAAAAATTGACCGGTTCATAAGGACTAGAGACAGTACCTCACTATGATTTACGAACGTATTTTTCTTTTTCCTCTTTTATCATTAATATACTTAGGTTAACGCCTGGAGTTTTTGTTGACCAACTGATACTATATACGGAAGCCCGTTAAGCGAAAGCTTTTTCTATTCCGTCTAGAACGTTTTGTATCTTCGGATATCTAGTAGCAACGTAAAAATCCCTAGGCATCATCTATAAAAACAATGTAAGCTCAGTTTCAGAACACACTTTAGGAGGAAAACCTGGAGTTCAGATGAGAAACGAAGCAACTGAAACAGTAATCGAACCTAGGTTCGATCCGTCAACTTTTGGAAATGATTTCCGGCTGAAGATTTTCAACCAACTTTAAAGTAACTTAATATGCTATTAAAGGCTTGAAAAGGTTGATCGTACTGAACTATCTAAAATGATTTCAATTTTTCAGCTTCACATAAGTAGGTTCCCACATGGAGACATCGATGTATACTGTTTTTTGTTGTATGAAAGCTGGTTAACCGAAATCTTCTGTTTCATCCAACACATCTTGAACCATTCGAATCAGGAGTATGTTAATGTAAGATAAGAAGATTCACTGAGATTCATTCAAAGCCTTACAGTTAAAGCATCGTTGCTTTAGTTTCTACGATTGACCTTGTTTATTGATTGTTTGTTGAGCTACATAGAGCAGGTTGTTACAAATTCAATTTTGGAACATGGACAAAGCTGTCGTTCAGACCAAGCTTGCAAGAGTAGGTTTCGACAATAGTCATACGTCTACTTTATGGTGTAGGTGAGAGCGGTTGTTGGCAGAACCGGTTCTCAGGGTCAATGTACACAGGTCCGTGTGGAATTTCTGGATGATACTAATAGGACAATCATAAGAAACGTGAAAGGCCCCATTCGAGAAGGCGATATTTTAACCTTGTTGGAAACTGAAAGAGAAGCCAGAAGGTTACGTTAATGTATTCCAAATAAAAGGTGGTTGTAAAATTACCGGCTTTTCGTTCATAACCACAACATATTTTTCCACGAAATGTAAGCAATTCAGACGCAAGCCCGCTTTTTCTGTATTAAAGAACCTACTCATAAGTAATAGACGGAATATATATTTTATATGTCAACAGCTTAAACTTCATGCAAAAATTTTGTCATAGAAGAACCCATGAACGCAAACTCCCTATTTTGGGGAAGCTGCGGGGTTTTCCTCAAGTTTTGTTCAATCTCCCCAGAACATGGAGTTTGAGGAAGTTGACAACAACCTGAAACCGTAAGCCACCATGACAGTAGTAGTTGTTATTTGATGTTGTAGTTACACTGCGAACAATTCATTTGTCGATTGCCGGTGATAATAGAAACTATCGACAGTGGAACTTTCTCTGCGGATTCAAAAGCTTCGGCAACTGGAATATTTCTTATGCCGAATAAGTATTTTTTTCAGCAGCGTCCTGAGGTATGCCTAACATCAACTGCAGACAGATCTTTGTTCAAAATTTAATTCTTTGTACCTGCTTGTGTAGGTGAGTAAGATGGTTTTTAGGTGAATTGTAAACTCATCGAGGGAAACTGCATGTAGATATGACTGGTCAGTACCATAACGTTACGTAGTAAATCATTCACCTGAACTACAAATCCTCACCATTCCGAAACCAAGTCACGCAGTGTTTTAGTCAAACTTCCTTTTACATGAATTCATTGGAATTTTCCACTAACTCGTGTAAGCACATTTTGAAAGTTGATTATCAGATAACACCGGGATTCTCGTAATGGGTACTTGGGATTGACGTTCGTTCCCTACTAAGTGACTGGATATTTTGCTTGTCTAGTCTTTTGATTTGAGTAACAAGACATCGCATCAACGGGAAAACGTAAAAAAATGATGGTGAAAGGAAAGGTAATGGAATTCGGCGTGATTTTTAACTTTGATAGGCAACTGAACATGCATAAGTGAATAGAGAAACAGACGACATTCTTAGGTAATAATTGCACTACGAACTTATAGACAGGAAATATCAAGATTGGAACCATAAGTCGGGGTCTTAAACAAGGGAACTGCGTGTCTGTGTACATTGTCTACCTTTGCCCTCAGGCTAGGCTTCGAAATGTTCTCAGGTCTCTACTTGTGTCCGAGGAGATAGGCACCTTCGGTCCGCATTTGCTTTTAGAACGAATGGCCAGTTGAGATGGTGTAACGTCAGTTGTATTTATTATTTAGTTCGCAAATGGAATGCTATTCTTCCGCCTTACGCGCGTATCGTACGCTAGGTTAAGACTCGGTGATTAGCTTGTCAGAGGTTAGACTGCTGGATACTGTTCAGTATGGACAAGTTCGCAGCGTTAATAGCCTTAGACATCAAGCCCTCGCTAGTTTAAGATGCTCGAAGCGCTGACTGTAACACATACGTGGTTTGTTGATCTATAAATACGATGCTTTTTTCTTCAGTTGCATTATTGAAGTGCGTTCTTAGAAAGCATGCGTAAGAATCACCTAAGCACGATAACTGCAATGGATTTACACGGTCAGAAACGTCGATCGAGAATTTTTCCATCCATATGAGGTAATAAGCCTGATGTAATTCTTGAGCTTGAAACAAAAAATCATGGCGAGGTAATCGAAGACAATTTACGAAACTCTAGTCCAATGCTTGATTTCTATTTGTTAATAAGTCGATACCAGGAATTTCTCACCTGGATATATACGCACCATGTGCCTTATGTAATCACAACTCCAACATTTTCAGCCTAGAAAAATTATTTTCGTAAAATCCTCACAAAAGTATACGTCAACTGTTATGAAGTCTCGTTTGCGACCTACTCCTTGATGCAAAAAGAAAACTGGGATGCAGAACTGTCAATACAACAATACAAAAATAGCTGGATGTACAACTTATAAAGCATAAACCGTTGTAAAGCCAGTGCATTTGTACTCATGTTTTACCGTATGCGAATATCCTACCTAGTCATTATTGAAAGATCGACATAAATTTCTAATTATTGATAAGACGGAAAGTACATCCATTATTACCTTTAACAGGTGTTAGATTAAAGCTCAGTTAAGATATCTGTATCTTCAGATTTCCATAAATAAATCGATTTTATCATAGGTTTGCCACAAGCCCTTATGAAATGACTTGGTTCTGTTAACTGCACAGTAAGTTCGGTTAACAGACTAGTGATGTATTATAACAATCGGAAATCAGCCAGATGAAAAGTGTGTAACATTGGCAACGAAATCTCATTCACTTCCTACCAATAAGGCACACACGTAGACGGTTGTGATCATGTATAAGAAGAATGGGCATCAGTACCTGACTCCACAAAACACAACAACTAATTTCCATGGGACATTTCTTTTGTTACACAATAATTGTTGCATATCATATTCAAACAGATACTATATTCCTTTACTCTATAAGTCAGCTAGCTAACAGGCGAGATTCGATCAGCGTATCACCTACCTGACGTAGAAACTCTCTGATACATATGAGTAACAATCTTTGCGAAATGCTTGTCGAACCAGTGATCTTACACAAAGCTCTATCAAGTAACTAAATTTATTACCAAATATTTGATAGATAAAAATCATTAGGATTGGTGTCGAGAGCTTTGAATATCTTCTCAATAAAATACTGAAAAAATTAATACGACGAACATTGTTATAACTGTGACTGCAGATTGGAGAGCAGCGTATTATCGACCGGACCAAAGACGCGTAAAACACGTGAGAACAACCTAGAGTCCTGCTTTCCTGTCTAGCCCAGCCAGTTTAGTCCAGAACGCAAGTCTCAGCCTCTGAGATATGAATTGTTACATTTCATACATACTCTGTTTATATACCAATCAAGCAGACCACGTCGTACCATAAAATAGAAAATAACATCTGTACAATATTTGGCCAACAGGAAAATAACACGTGAAATAAGTATCGACCAACAGGAAAATGATACCATCTCAAGTTCAAGGATAGCGTTAGACTTAACAGGATAACTTTTGAGATATTTTTCTGAATATCCCAACAAACATATATTCCCAACTTGCATTGTTTAGTTACCGTTACCGTTGCTCTGTATCTAATACACAATCTACTTGTAAAGACAATCAATAAGCAGAACTGAATCACTTTACATTCTAGACTGTCGCACATTCTGTCATGCTCACTCCTGATTTATAATTTCTCACATTTCGATCTGGTCATTAGCAGTTGTAACAAATAATTTAGTCTTTCCATATAGTGAGTGATAATGAGTCGAGTGAGTATGAGATAAGCAAATCAGCGCTAGAATATAGGAGAATACAGTTTTAGTTTTTGCACTTACATATATGTAATCCATACCCTTTTGTGATGTTTACAGTGGCAACTGATTTTGCCAACTACAGCAATACGGTCCGAATATCTAAAAGTTTATTCGGCAAGAAAGATTTAACTTTGAGACCACTATTGAGCAGGAATCAACTACCCGAACCATTCCGAAAAAGTTATGCTAACATTAGTCTTTGAGCTCGATGTGACTAACGAAATATTTTAGAGATAGTGATTAAACTAATAATCTATAAATAGTATTAACATTCAGCTTACACTTACCCTATACTAATTCCAGCATTCGACGGTTGTTCGCACAATAAATCCTCCAAGACACTTGTTACATGTTGAGTAATATCTCGTTGTATATCCATTTTTTGATCATCTGATAAACAATCAACTTTATGAATAAATACTTCAAATTTAATATTCATATTAAAACGGAACGCTGATTCTAAAGTAGCATGTAGGCGGGTTAAAGCCGCATGATAATCATCCTACAGAATTAAAGTAACGATCAATAATATAAATATTTGACATATGACTAGCAATTAAAAACCGAGGAAACTGAAACATATGCATTTTATCAAGTATTCAATTATAATCTATTACAACGACCGCAGTCGTCTCACCACAGGTATATATACAGTATTGGTAATATCCATCGTTAATACAATAACTTCTAAAGATTACTGAAAATACCACAAAATTGGTTTGTACTGCATGAACTTCAACTGACCCTGACAACACCTATCGCACTGATAAAAACAATCTTCATACTCATTACAAATTGAAAATATTAGAATATATTACACTGTATTCAGAACAAATTATTATTAACTTATATGTATTTCTCTTTATTCTTATAAAGCAGAAAAGTAAAATATCAAATGGTCAAGTTGGGATGAGCTGATGATCAATAAAATATAAGCAGGAGGTTTTGCGAAAAAAAGTAAACTAGGAAGCACACTGCATCCAGAACACAATGATAACAGCTTCAAATGAAAATGAACGGACAAGAAATTCATGTAGGATTTTGCATGTGTCACATATACGCAAATCATTTACATATGTGTACAAGGTAGCAAAAAGTCACCTTTGATGGAAGTAAACCATAATGATGACCAATATATATATGTACATTACAAGATTCTACTATTCTCTTCTTACATCTCTATTTTTATATTGTGGTTCTCCATCACTAACTTCCTGTCCATCTTCATCCTTTCCACTCGAATCAAGTTCGTTTACTGGCTCTTCATCTTCTGGTATAGGATCTGAAGACGGTTGGTGTGTCAACAAAGCAGCTAGTTCTCGCTTTGCATGTTGTTGGTTTAATTCAAGCATTTGTTGTAATGCATTCTTAATGACACAGAAATTGAATTCTATCAAGCCTACAAACGTATAAAAATAAGTAAATTCTAGTAACTAATGTGTTATAACAAAAATCATTGAATAGTTTACTTCAGAATGTAATGCGTGGTAGTTGTTTGAGAGAGTATAAACCAACTCTACCTTCGAAGTTTCAAAGCTCGTCGTCGTTTTTGATCATTCTGTTATTTCAAACTTCCAAAAAACAGATACCCCTGCATACTTATTGCGAAAACGATAAAGTTCACCGGCTTACATGTGTGCTCATACACAAGTTAGGGAGGGATGATGCTTGCCACTTACTAGATATTGTGTCGATCAACCTTTATAAAAACAGGAGCAAAAATACCTATTATTTGTTTATAAAAGGAGCTTTTTCATTTGAGTTGGTTCTGAAAATGTTTGAAAACTTGCAAAACATCGGACGTAGTCGAGAAAGATATCTGGTCATTAATTTGTAAACGGTAGGGAAGAGGGGATCTTTATTAGGTGTTATACAGTGATTTGTAAGGTGCTTTAATTTGAGTTGACGAATTGCCAGTTTTTTAAGAGTTGAGCCTGTTATTTACTCACTCGCTTCAACACAAATTGTGGTACATTGTTTTTCTTATTGAACGATGAAGTATTGAGTCACATAAGCATAGTTAGAATGCAAATGTTTACAACCTGTGAAAATGAATAAATTATTTTATATTTTGTACCTAATATACATACTATAATTAATGTTTTAAGAATAATGAATTGAAAGACAGACGAAACAATCGTTTACCCATTTTCTCTAAAGATTCTTCATACATCAAACAAGCTAGAGCCATATACTGATTGACGCCACGAAGATATAATGCTCTGTCATTGTTTAAGATAATTGTTGCCCCAGTTTGCTCAGATACAGGCGGATCAACAAAATTAGATTGGGGACTGCAAACAAAGATGAGAAGGTATCTTTTAGAATGAACTTAACAGAGGTGAAGGAACTTCGGGAATTACATATGCCTAACACAAAACGCACTCGTTTTTTGTCTTGAGATATATACCGGGATTAGTAATAGGGAATGAGTGGGTTGACAAGAAAGGACTGAAGTCTAATAACACCATCCATTTGACTTTCCATGAGAAGTATGAAACTGGAGTACTTGTGGAACTCATACGCACTTGTCACAAACTGTCCAAAAGTATTGGATATACAATGAAAGAATATCTCAAATCAAACATATTAGCTAATTGAGCAGGACAGAAAGACGACATTGGCGCAAATGATATACCGGAAGTTGGTCAAAATAAACGCAGTAAAAGTTCGAAGTACTTAACTTATGAGAACAATCACCTGACAATTTAAAGAATATAAGCAAAGATTCAGTTCACGATTTCCTTTACCATACAAAAACAGTTTAGACAATTTCCCATCTACAACCTCACTCGATGCTCAATGATGTTTGGTGTACGAGTAGATTTTAAGAATGCTAGGTGCAGACAAACCAAGATACTTTTTACTTCATGTTGCACGCTTCTGATGATTTTGTGTGTGCTAGACTTTACTAAAGACCATTGTTTTCTCAGTCAGTCACAACGTAGAACATGTACGTATGTAGATCGGTTCAAGTTGGCATAACCGAAATGCTTTGCAAGTTGAACATGTTACTTGCAGCGAGCACACCGAACCATGGACTCAACGAAGCCATCCTTAAGGATAGGATTTCCTCAGTGATTAACGTCATTACAGTCACGTTCACTCATCCACAGCGTGCTACTAAGATCTGTCATCATAATCTATTCTGTGATGGTTCCTATGTGATATTGCTTCTACTGGACCGACCCTATGTCATGGAGAAATCACAGTATATGAGAGATTTTCAGTATGTCCAGTAGATTGTATGACGATTGGGTCAGAAATTGTCTTTCGAACTCGAAGAACAGTCCAAAATAGAGCCTTAACAGTCGAGCTGGTTTACGATTAATTTAAAGAAAATTAGGGGTGGGTGAACACTGACTGTTAGATTGAACCATGTAGGTATGATCAAACTGGTTGGGTTACGCATGAATATCATAGCCAACAGTTGGAGACATAGTCTAGATATCTGAAAATTTTTCGCAATCGCGCAGAAGCATTTATTGTTTGTCATATCTTTCATCCTAATTTTCTTGTTTCCCCATAATTTCGTTTCAAACCACTAATTTATATTTTCTTCTCCAACTGTATCTTCGATGTCTAATCTTTTCGACCACCACTACTAAAATTCCCACATCTACTGAGCTGAGATTCGCCCTGAAAACTTTATCTGGTTGTGCTAAAGGGGTAGTACAACTTGAACCGATACATGTACTAGGTTTAACGCTGCGTACGACTGACTGACATTATTGATACTGAAATGTTACTTGCATACGTGCTGCCAGATGTGTGGAAAATACAAAAATACCACTAGAAACCAGAGATTGAATAACGTTTAGTTACAAAATAGTGATATCTATCATATATACCTATCTATGATGGTACACAGTACGTACTATCAAATCACCTGTAGCTAGCTGAACAACGGTACAGCAAAATTAGATGATAACTTATGTTGTATGACCAGGCATTGTGCTGGAAAATTATCAGCATAATTTCAGACGGTAATTCCAATGTCATGAAGGGGTCTACGTTAAATCGATGTCCGGTAGACATGTTGATTTCGATACTCTTATGGTTTCTGGAGCAATAAAGTTTTTAAAGTTTATGATATAAAATCCCTGAAGATTTCTGAAAATAAAAGTATATAGGGAAAATAGTTTTCACATTAACTACTAGCCTACGTGTAGATTGCTGCCACATCTACGACAACATCAATCATATCGCAGCATAATTCATACGTCTGCATGTCTACTGCATTTGAATCTGTTGCTAAATATATTTTACTGGTGACATCAAAAAGAAATGCTTTGTCCACCATTGAATTCTGTAAAACAAGAAAGAAAACATGAAAAAATTAAAGATTTGAAAAATATACGCGAAACAATCAAATGCCATATAATAATAGGAATCGCCCTACACACGACAAAAGTAAGAAAAATGGAATTTTAATGTTGCTTATGCTACAGAAATTTTCAGACCCGTTTGTAATGCATCCTAAGGAGCATTAAAGGTCCTTTCCTGATAATCGATTTATATAAAATTGCAGGACACTCGAAAACTAAACCATTAATTGATAAAACTCACCCAACGGATTCTCAAAAAGCACGTTTCTTATATCATATTGGTGGAAGATTTCAACATCCACAGTCTTTTAAACAAAAATAACTACAGAAATCAAATTATCCGGCAATGTTTAGAATACTTATACAAGGCTTAAGTGGCACGACTGTTCTTCGAATTCGAAAGGCAATTTCTGACCCAATCGTCATACAATCTACTGGACATACTGAAAATCTCTCATATACTGTGATTTCTCCATGACATAGGGTCGGTCCAGTAGAAGCAATATCACATAGGAACCATCACAGAATAGATTATGATGACAGATCTTAGTAGCACGCTGTGGATGAGTGAACGTGACTGTAATGACGTTAATCACTGAGGAAATCCTATCCTTAAGGATGGCTTCGTTGAGTCCATGGTTCGGTGTGCTCGCTGCAAGTAACATGTTCAACTTGCAAAGCATTTCGGTTATGCCAACTTGAACCGATCTACATACGTACATGTTCTACGTTGTGACTGACTGAGAAAACAATGGTCTTTAGTAAAGTCTAGCACACACAAAATCATCAGAAGCGTGCAACATGAAGTAAAAAGTATCTTGGTTTGTCTGCACTTAGCATTCTTAAAATCTACTCGTACACCAAACATCATTGAGCATCGAGTGAGGTGGTAGGTTGGCATACATCAAAACATGTCCGAACCATTTCAGACAATAAAAATTCGCTACCTCATTAATCGATTTGCCATTTTTGCTTATTACTCTGTGCATAACCTCAGAATCGCTAATTTCATGGTCCCCAATTTTATGAGCAATCGTATGAGGGTATTTACAAACAAAAACTAGCAACCTAAAAATAATCTCTATCCTTAAAGGCCACGATTAACAGCCGTAATGTAGAACAGAACAGACTGCTGCACAGTATACTCATCCTATGTTTGTATGTCACGTCAAAAGTAATGCAAGTTGCTAAAAGCCAATAAAGCTTGTTGAATCCGTGGCCAAATTGTGCTAATCACCAACCCATCAAAACTGATGAGACTCAAAAACGTCTATCAGCTCAGTAGACGTTGCAGACTTTCACTAACATTTTGATTTTAGTCTATTACAGATCGTATCGCTTTTATCATGACTGCTGTATGCCATGCCAACCCATATCCAGGTGGATGTTGCTGACAATCGACTAACTGCTCTTCTATTTGTTCCTTAGATAAACTCTTGAAATTTTGTCATCTTTTTTTGCACAGAACAAGACATAAATACATGTTTATATTAGGGCATGACCAGAGTCGAGATGTGCTCAGAAATGTGCGGTGATCTTTTATTTAGCCTCTCTCACGATGGCTAATGTGGTCAGTTTGCAATCACCGTTGAGTTTATTGTGGGGGTTTTCATGTAGGATGATGCTCCTTTTTGCGCTTAAAGTTAGTCATTGTCAAGAATAAACGGATGTCTGAGAACAACTACAGCAGTTGGTAACGACTGTCTGCTCATTGAGCTAGGATAGCATGAGACCCATTTGAGTGTCTTCGACTCTATTTTGAAACACCTGAGGATTAAAATATTCTACTATAATTACTGCTACTGAGAATTCGGCTTTTTTGTGATTTTTAATTACTGAGTTCCGACTTAAACATTACTTTGATTACTACCGATGACTTATTTTAATAAAACTAAAATGTAAACATATCTTACGAGAATACAGTTTGGACCAATGAATGAGTAAACTGACAACTGAGTATTATATATATACCGATTAGGTTTGGTTGAAAAAGCTTTTTCCTTATTCTTAGTCTTTTCACTCCAGTAGTTGCTTGAGTGTACATACAAGAAGATTGAGTTTCAGTATCAGTATAGGACATGACTTACAGAAAACATAAAATGTTTCGAGAAACATATTTATTGTACTTTTTGCAATGAAAACTTTCTATTAATCATTGTATTTTAATGACTAAGAAAATAACTTTGTCACAGCAAATTACATGAATTGATTTCACTTTAGTGTCTGAATTAACTCAACTATCAACAAAAGTTATTAGTTTTCGTATGTGATCACTTTAAAATCTTAGGGATAATCCTGAAATGTTTTTAATGCATAATACATTCCGATAACCAAATGTTATGAACATGTACTGATCAAGTGATCTGTGTAACGGAATAGTGACTGGATCAGTCAAATTTCACGATCATTAGGTTTTGTTTTATGAATTGCAATTAACTGATTCTTGTCTCAGAGGTTCGACGATATCGACAACCATTCTCTAAAAGTTATAGTCTAAAATCCTGTAGTAAATAAGCATATGACTAAATAAGAAATTCAAATTCATTACTATTTATAGAAAGATGTTCTTTGAAATACAGAAAGAGAGATATGAACTAGTATGTATTAGTTAATTGAGGATAAGTTTTGTTTACAAAAGGATCTATTCAATCTTCAAGTTGATTTTACCTTCTAGAAAAGAAAGTTACTTTTAAATACTTAAAATGAGTTAAAAATTAAATAATAAAGCACAGAGCAAGATATAATGAATAAATTTATTTGTAATGATTAAGAAAACAAAAAAAAGGAAACTCACTGTAATAAATATATTTAATAAATGTTCAAATGCTTCCAAGTAAGGAATTAATTTTTGTACCACTTTACTGAATGCTTCAAAAATTGAATGATCATATATTGTAGTTAAATGAAATCTGGTTTAATTTTTTTTTATTAAAAAAAATCAAAAAAGATTACCTTTAACATAGTGTAGTTTAGAATAAGATTCAAATTTATCTTGAGTAATTCAATAATGTACTCAATGATCTTCTAATAATTGATCATTTCATTTACAATAACCTACAACCTCGTGAGTCGCATTTGTCTCACATATATGTTTTACCAAAAACAAGTAAACAAGATGTTCCTCTCAGATTTATTATGTCAATAGTCAATTCAACTTATCAAAACGTTGCACGTTGGTTAGCGGATAAGTTAAAAGTAGTCCGTCAACGACTAGCCGCGTATAAACCAAAAGATCCAATTGAATTTGCCGATAGTATGGATTATATAAATACGATTTCCATTGATGTAACATTACTGTTAACTAAAATACCACTTCTTGAAAGTATAGACATAATTTGCTAGTGTTCTGGTATCCTACCTCTACCAGCATCAAACTCAAACGTCTGTTAATCATATGTACAAAAGATATTCAGTTTCAGTTCAAGAATGTCATATACCGACAAACTGATTGTGTAGCAGCGGGAAGTCTATTAGGTCCTGTCCTAGCAGATATTTTCATGGCTAATGTAGGAAGAAGCAAGTTCGGAGAAATCGATGAAATGGTGTATTATTCGAAGTAAGTTGATGACAACGTCATTGCGTGTAATAATCAGAAACATGAAACAAAATCTGCTGAAACTTTTCAAAGAAGCCCATAAAAACATTCACTTTACTATGGAACAAGTACCATTTTCTTGACATTACAATAAAAAGAAGAATGGCATGGTCCAACATCCGGTTTATAAAAAGTATATGTAGAATATATCATTGGCAAAGAAATCCCATTCACTTTCTAGCAATGAGGCACACACGTAGACGGTTGTGATCATGTATAAGAAGAATGGGCATCAGTACCTGACTCCACAAAACACAACAACTAATTTCCATGGGACATTTCTTTTGTTACACAATAATTGTTGCATATCATATTCAAACAGATACTATATTCCTTTACTCTATAAGTCAGCTAGCTGAAAGGCGAGATTTGATCAGCGTATCACCTACCTGACGTAGAAACTCTCTGATACATATGAGTAACAATCTTTGCGAAATGCTTGTCGAACCAGTGATCTTACACAAAGCTCTATCAAGTAACTAAATTTATTACCAAATATTTGATAGATAAAAATCATTAGGATTGGTGTCGAGAGCTTTGAATATCTTCTCAATAAAATACTGAAAAAATTAATACGACGAACATTGTTATAACTGTGACTGCAGATTGGAGAGCAGCGTATTATCGACCGGACCAAAGACGCGTAAAACACGTGAGAACAACCTAGAGTCCTGCTTTCCTGTCTAGCCCAGCCAGTTTAGTCCAGAACGCAAGTCTCAGCCTCTGAGATATGAATTGTTACATTTCATACATACTCTGTTTATATACCAATCAAGCAGACCACGTCGTACCATAAAATAGAAAATAACATCTGTACAATATTTGGCCAACAGGAAAATAACACGTGAAATAAGTATCGACCAACAGGAAAATGATACCATCTCAAGTTCAAGGATAGCGTTAGACTTAACAGGATAACTTTTGAGATATTTTTCTGAATATCCCAACAAACATATATTCCCAACTTGCATTGTTTAGTTACCGTTACCGTTGCTCTGTATCTAATACACAATCTACTTGTAAAGACAATCAATAAGCAGAACTGAATCACTTTACATTCTAGACTGTCGCACATTCTGTCATGCTCACTCCTGATTTATAATTTCTCACATTTCGATCTGGTCATTAGCAGTTGTAACAAATAATTTAGTCTTTCCATATAGTGAGTGATAATGAGTCGAGTGAGTATGAGATAAGCAAATCAGCGCTAGAATATAGGAGAATACAGTTTTAGTTTTTGCACTTACATATATGTAATCCATACCCTTTTGTGATGTTTACAGTGGCAACTGATTTTGCCAACTACAGCAATACGGTCCGAATATCTAAAAGTTTATTCGGCAAGAAAGATTTAACTTTGAGACCACTATTGAGCAGGAATCAACTACCCGAACCATTCCGAAAAAGTTATGCTAACATTAGTCTTTGAGCTCGATGTGACTAACGAAATATTTTAGAGATAGTGATTAAACTAATAATCTATAAATAGTATTAACATTCAGCTTACACTTACCCTATACTAATTCCAGCATTCGACGGTTGTTCGCACAATAAATCCTCCAAGACACTTGTTACATGTTGAGTAATATCTCGTTGTATATCCATTTTTTGATCATCTGATAAACAATCAACTTTATGAATAAATACTTCAAATTTAATATTCATATTAAAACGGAACGCTGATTCTAAAGTAGCATGTAGGCGGGTTAAAGCCGCATGATAATCATCCTACAGAATTAAAGTAACGATCAATAATATAAATATTTGACATATGACTAGCAATTAAAAACCGAGGAAACTGAAACATATGCATTTTATCAAGTATTCAATTATAATCTATTACAACGACCGCAGTCGTCTCACCACAGGTATATATACAGTATTGGTAATATCCATCGTTAATACAATAACTTCTAAAGATTACTGAAAATAACACAAAATTGGTTTGTACTGCATGAACTTCAACTGACCCTGACAACACCTATCGCACTGATAAAAACAATCTTCATACTCATTACAAATTGAAAATATTAGAATATATTACACTGTATTCAGAACAAATTATTATTAACTTATATGTATTTCTCTTTATTCTTATAAAGCAGAAAAGTAAAATATCAAATGGTCAAGTTGGGATGAGCTGATGATCAATAAAATATAAGCAGGAGGTTTTGCGAAAAAAAGTAAACTAGGAAGTACACTGCATCCAGAACACAATGATAACAGCTTCAAATGAAAATGAACGGACAAGAAATTCATGTAGGATTTTGCATGTGTCACATATACGCAAATCATTTACATATGTGTACAAGGTAGCAAAAAGTCACCTTTGATGGAAGTAAACCATAATGATGACCAATATATATATGTACATTACAAGATTCTACTATTCTCTTCTTACATCTCTATTTTTATATTGTGGTTCTCCATCACTAACTTCCTGTCCATCTTCATCCTTTCCACTCGAATCAAGTTCGTTTACTGGCTCTTCATCTTCTGGTATAGGATCTGAAGACGGTTGGTGTGTCAACAAAGCAGCTAGTTCTCGCTTTGCATGTTGTTGGTTTAATTCAAGCATTTGTTGTAATGCATTCTTAATGACACAGAAATTGAATTCTATCAAAAATACAGAATACATAAAACTCATTATCGATTTTTCGTTGATGGCCAAGAGTGATCCCGAATGTGGTTGATCTATAGCCCCATAAACGTTATGGTACAAGAGATCACACTATTTTGGTTCTTGTTTCATATCTACAAACGCTTCCAGAATCTTTTAATTTACCAGAGACTTCTGAAAATTTCAAACCTATCCTAGATACTAATGTTATATTATCCACGACCATCACCTTTGTTTTTACATTAGAATGTAAATCCGACAATATCATAGAAAGATGAACATTCTGATCCTTATTGTCTCTATTCAATTCTTACTCATAGTTGTAATTTCGTGTTAAGCTTTATAATACCTGTCACAAACGAACATGTGCTCACACTATAAATCAAAGTTTAAGAACGTGTTTTAAAAGTTGCCTTTTGAACCTTTGTAACAGATGTCAAGGATCTCTAAAAATACAGTTCATTGAGTATGCTTAGTGAAGAAAACCGACGTTATCTATTCGATGACGTGGAATTACAAGCCTATATAAACATTGCTTCAATTGGCTTAGCTTATTTATTTGAATTACCCGCTACAAAAGGAGACACTTAAACAAAACCAAAGTCCACTAGTGTATAATAACGGACTCGTGCTGTTAGTAGTAGCTTCAAATTCAGAGAATAATATTAAAAGCCAAACAAAATACAATACACATTTAGTTAATACTTTACCTGAGCATCGATAATGAAAATTATAGCACAAGAAGCTAAAAATATAGCTTCAGATTGAAAGGTCTCATCACAAAAATCAATGTGACCAGGAAAATCCCATATTTGAAATTTGATAAAGGAGCATTCAGATACGTCTGAAAAGTTATACCTTTAAAAAAATCATAAAAAATGCTACCATTCTTTTCAATTTTGTGGGTACTTTCCAAAAACAATGTTTCGTTTGGTGCCATTTTGTGAAAAACAACCCGTTGAATTGATGATTTACCACTTCTATAAATAATAGGTCAACATATTAACATAAGGGAATAAAACCTTCTTAAACCCATCAATAGTATTTTCGGTTTTTCATCGACTTGACTCAACATATTTTGAAAAATAGGCAAATGATTCCCAACACCACAACTGCCAGCAGCAACGGTGCTTTGTGATAATTCACAATCATAATTTTCCTGATATCCAGTCGGGATAAAGTTTCCTAATTCTGAATAAACCTGACGGGTGGGGTCCTCACTGTTAACATTGTTCATTCTGAAACTAAAAGATGTAGAACTGTTAAACTAAAAACTCAATATTTGAAAAAGTTAGATTTTAAAAATATAAAACTGACTTTTGTATAACACTATCTAAGTGTTTTAACAGCCTTGTTTAGAAAATGTAACCGCTTAGTTTTGGTTGACTAAATTGAGACAATTCATTCTTACTACTTTTTTGTTCGTAAAACTTGGGATCACCTAATATGGTTGCAAGTTTTTTTATTGCTGTTATGTTGTTTCCAACTTCAAGGTAAACCACAATGTAAAGCGACATTTGTAATGTAAATACCCTTAATAAACCATGAAATAGAATTTCTATCTTCTTACAATGATTACCATTTCACACGTACTGATTACATGTTTCCATAACCGCTTTCGTTTTGCTTTGTTTTGTATGTATTTAGGGTCAGTAAATGAATACTTAAAAGTCGATGACTAACAGAAAATCTGTCAACTTTGAATGGTAACATGATCTTAAATTCATTTAGCACTTTACGGATAAATGAAATGAGTTTAACAAGAGTTTGAGTTAGTCAGATGTGAAAAATATCGTGTCTTGAACTCAAATAAATTATAGTTATAAAACTTATTTTACAGGGAATTAGATCTTATATTTGAACTCATGGATATGATTGCATAATTCGTTTCATGATGGTTTGAAGACACCTAATGAGTTGTTGACTGAATGGTAGTTAACGATAGAACTATTGAGACTTCAGTCGCTGAGATTATTATGAATATAACTCCATATTTAATGTCTTTATTACTCTTGACGCTTCACTTCTGTGAAAGTTAGTTTATATCTTGATTTAAAGTGTTGCTTATGCTATAGAAATTTACAAAACCATCTGAAACCATACACTGGCAGCTACGAATGAACCAGTGAGTAAGTAATACAAGAAACGTGCAGTTTTCTAAGAACGGTGACTGTGACTTTCCAAGTTTGTTTGAGTTTGACAGTTTACCAGAACAGGTGGCTTAGTGACGTTTAACAACAAAAATCCAGATTCGAGTCTAGCTTTAACTACTTCGCTTTGGGAACCCGAGTAGTAAAATTATTTATCACATTTAGAATATCGTCCACAATCAAGCACCTGTTGAAGTAAGTAATTAAAATATTTACAAGACGGTGTTAGAATTCGTAAAAATAAGCACAGGTAAACTAATAACAACATCAAGTATGGATACGTAGGTTAAGTATTAGAGATGTACTGTAATGGATTCTAAAGAGCGATAAAGGTTCTTTTCTGATAGTCGTTTTATATAAAATTGTGGGACACTCGAAAACTAAACCATTAATTGATAAAACTCACCCAACGGATTCTCAAAAAGCACGTTTCTTATATCATATTGGTGGAAGATTTCAACATCCACAGTCTTTTAAACAAAAATCGAATTCGAAGGGCAATTTCTGACCCAATCGTCATACACCCTACTGGACAAACTGAAAATCTTTCATATACTGTGATATCTCCATAACATAGGGTTGGTCCAGTAGAAGCAATATCACATAGGAACCATCACAGAATAAATTATGATGACAGATCTTAGTAGCACGCTGTGGATGAGTGAACGTGACAGTAAAGAAAAGCATCCCGACACAAACATGCTTCCATAGAAGAGAGTCGTCCAAGTGACCGATGAGGAATTGTTGGTCGCAGGTTAGATAAGAGGGACCGTTTACTGCAAACGTGCGCAGACCACAACCTGCTTCTGGCTATCACTAACTACCGGAACAGTCATCGCCGACGTGCCGCCTTGTGTCCCCCCTCTGCATCTCAACCACGGACTCCGGTTGATCACATCGCCATCAGCTACCGCCGCTTTCGCTTCGTTATACAGGACTGTCCTCTGGGATTGTCTATTGAAGAACGGTGTGCCTGAGAAGTTTATTAACTTTTTATAAACCCGATATACAAACACATCAGCCAAAGTGAGGGCATACAACCACCTCTCTCCATTGTTCCATTCAAGCTTTGGGTTTAGACAGGGTTTCCCTATCTCACCATTCCTCTCCAACTTTGCTAACAATGATGTTCTGGAAACGGCTCTGATGGATGTAGGGAATGGTGGCGTAGGTCTGTTGCCTGGAGAAATTCTCGACCTTGAGTATGCAGGTGATATTATTTTATTGCGCAATAATACCAAAGTCATGCAATCTCCCCTTTATCAGTTGACAATTAGTGTCTGTAGGTATGGTATGTGTTTTGCACCTTCCAAGTGCAAAGTACTTTGACAAGACTGGCAGGACCCTGTTTTTATTTATTTATTTGAACACAAATATTAGTACAAAGGAGCACCGAATACCAGTCACAAGTCACTTGTTTGTGTGTGGGCTGTGATACTGTCGTCCCCGTGCATTATTTGCCGACGCTGGGACTGGTTGGAAAAAGGGGAGAGGTGGTCAGTGTATGATATGGTGTCGCGGTATGAAAGAAAGCTGTACAGGACTGGCTTCTCTTGGTCCATCACGACTCCCTGGTTGGGGTTCTAGAGATGGTGGCTTAAGACGTTAACCGATATAACTCAAAATAGAGGCCAGTGGCGATCCTGCTATAATTTTTTTTTGCTTCATAAAAAATGGACGTAACTTCTTTAACTGGAAGAATTTTTCTGGTTGTACTTCTGCTAACTGAACTGCTTTTCCCACTATTATTATTTCACTATCATAAACTAATTTCTGTTCGTTATTGTTCTCCTTTTTTCTTATACGCAATTTACATTATCTATCTCTCATTCTCATTGTTATTGTATGGCCCATATATATTTGGTGCCTCTTTGTACCAATATTTATATGTTCAAATAAATAAATGTTGATCAAGGTGATTAGAAGACTGCAGGTCGTTAGAGTCCTCCCTGGACAGAACAATGTCATTTGAGTGTACTGTGTTAAATAGTGCGGCCTATGCTCCACAAGAGGTAACAGACGTAAGTAAAGTAAGTAGCGTCAATTAGTGGGTCTCCTAGTAGATCAACATTTAAAAAGTCAGGTAATTGGAGCCTTATCTGTAAACAAATGTATACAATAAAGTTAAAAATGATGGAAAAACCGAACCCTGACATAAATCGCTTGAAGTTATCAATCCCGATAACGTTTCGCCATAAATTGACCAGCAGTGTTAGAGTAGAGAGCCTGTACAAAGTTAATACATTTCTTTGGTGCTCCTTACAATGACAGACAACCACAAAATTTATCGATGTACCGAGTTGAATACTACCTTAAGGTCAAGAAATATGCATATGATTGGGATTCATTAGACATGTCTAACTCACAACCCAGTAGAGGACAAAATTTCGGTCTGCGGATCCACATACGGGTTTGCAACCAGTCTAGTTTTCTCAAAATTGTTGTCCAGATTTCCAACTTTCAATCAACTGCCTGAGTGAAAAATAATAAGTGTTTACACCTATTTATGGACTAATATCTCCATATTGCATAGTTGTAAAATCTATGGAATGAGTATTGCATCAACCTCTTATTAGTCGGTTACAATATAGAACCTGTAAATATGTACGTTGATTCAGTTCGGCATGCCCCATTAGCACAGAGAGAGGAAATTGTCAGGCCAAATCCCAAAGTAGTACAAGTAGTAACATTATTAGTGGTGATTTAGAAGACTAGGGATCGAGGTTACAAGTTAAGGAAATAAAAAGACAAAAAGCTTATGAGTTATTAAAAGCTCAGGATTTCGGGGAAGACAAAGAATAGATACACTTGAGCCATTGCAAACGATTTTGAGTCATGCCGTTCAAAGCCTAACCACTGGTTATGATGGTCACACGGACCCCAACCAAGTAGCTTACTCCTACCAAAATGACTCAGTTCAATTTTCAGTGACTTTATGGACTAATCCCGTGTTCGTTTGCCTGACCCTTGCTCTCTTCCAGCCTGCTCATGCACCATACAACATCACCCGTTGACGTAGGCCGTAGTCGGACATACATAACACATGTCTTAACCACTTCAAAAGAAGCTTTGTATATTTAACTAGTACTCTATGCTTGACCCAGACACTGCCTACTCCGTGATCCCAAAATACTAGGTCAAGGAATACAACTATTGTCGGACGCCGACAGGTATTTTTACGTTCGAAAATTTGCCGAGTGGTGAATATTTAGTCTATACATCCATGTTGACGTTTGGAACCAGCCTTGTTCTATCACGATTGCTATTCGCGAACCGTAGCGAAGCTTCGGATTACTATTGAAACTAGTTTAGATATTATAGTAGTCAGACTGAATTCTCTGTGATTGTCACAACATTTTATCGTTTCTTATAAACTGGGACGACTAACGACCGAGACTGGTCAAAGTGTATTACATCCAGTTCCCAGATTTTAGCTAAAATCTCAGTTCATTTAAGTGCTAAACCTGGAACAGTCAGTCAGTCAGCTACAACGTAGGACCAGGCACATATATGCATCGGTCCAGGTTGCCATACCTCATTAGCACAGTAAAATGAACACCGGATTCATAGAAGTAGTTAATTCAGTGGTGGCAATATATAAAAGAAAGATTGCATATAAGGACATAGTGCAGGAAAAAACAATTACTTGGTAGAAAGAAAGATATGAAGTGATTTTAATCTCATAGTTTAAGAGAAGACAGAGAGTGTATACACATACGCGATTGTGATGGATTCTGAGCCGTGTCACCAAGAGTCTCCAACCATTGGTTTCGGTAGTCACGCGGACCGCAACCAAGTAGTCTGCATCTACCAGCATGGCTCAGACCAGAAGTTAGTGACTACAAGCACTGATGTCACGTTTTAGTTTGGCCATCCCTAACTTTCTTCCAACCATTCCCAACACCAGTTAGCATTGCGCGTTCTGGTAATCGGTGTTCAGGCATACGTAACACGTGGCCCAACCATCTCAGTCGATGGAGATTAACAACCTCATCAACTGATTTACCATCATTACCTAATACCCTGCGTCTAACCTCACTATTACTTACCCGGTGATCCCAGCAGACACCAGCAATATTTCTAAGGCATCTGTG